TATTCATTGTGATGAAATCTTCATTGAATCTTACCTTTGTGTTAGCAATGGCAGTAAATCCACTGTGATGAAATCTTCATTGAATCTTACCTTTGTGTTAGCAATGGGAGTAAATCCACTGTGATGGGATCTTCATTGAGCCTAAGTATATAAGTAACTAGTGCACTTGGACTTCGTCTCCAGAATGTGTAACCTGCTTGTAAGCGTAAATTTCTAGCTGATAATATAGATACCATAGTTTCACTATTTTGTAACATCTAAAAAAAAGAGAATGCAATAAGTAAACTGCACTATACTAGATGCCAGCTGATTAGAATCCCAACAGCGATATTTCATTTCAAAAACACCTAACAGCAATATGTATGCCAGCTTTAACAACATACTTTGTTGACGTTATATTGGGTGGCAATTTTTCAACAGGTTTGTTACATAAACTTATGCGCTGCTTATAGAGTAAATATGGTACTGTATTTGCTCTAATAAAATAGCATCTGTAATTCAAGAAGTGATTAAACAACAAATTTCATTTATTGCATAATGTATACTGAACCACTAAAATATGATTTATGTTGGTCATAGCTATATGTGATCAGTCATTTGTAATAATATTGTGAACGCAGTAAATTATTCACTGTGTTTGAATTTTAATTTTAATAGAAAACCACCTTAAATGTGCTCAAAATCGTAAAAATTAAATACATATGAAAAATTAATGCTTTCTCAGTACTTATACAGGATTATCTGTAATTTACAAGGTTCTAGTAGATATGGTGTCACAATTACATACTGGGTAGTATGAATAGAGGAGGTTACAAAAGAGTAATATCATCATAAGCTGCAAGCAGTCCATACCTCATTTAAAATTGAATCAGACTGGAGTCCCATGTCAAAGGTTCTGAGTAGAGCACTAGGTTTGTGAACATAAATCTTCCCGTCATGTTGTACTTCGGATTCGTCACTTTGTGAAGAATATTCATCGGATGATGTATCATCACCTGATTTCCTGCGAGACTTCACTGCTGCTGCTTTCCTTTTCCGCGGTGTCTGTTTCATTAGAAGGAAGACAGGTATTAAAATATTGGGAATATTTAATACAATTTTCCAACAAGTTGTGGACTCAATTGACAAAGCATTTTTATGACATGAAATGGGTGACATATCACTTTCTTTGAACTGTATATAGTCTTTATGAATGAATATGTTTTTGAGACATATTTTACTAATTCAACATAGTTGTTGACTTGAGCAACATTGCTTTCACCTACAGTACACACAGTATCATGTCACAGAAGCACACTGTCACTAGAGGGCGCTACTCAATGAATGAATGAATGGATATAAAGTTGCACTATGAGATCATTCATAAAACTCTATCCTCGGGGGCGGAGCTACGTCACAGACGTTCCACGTTGCTAAGACGCGCACCACTGTACCATGCATTTCTATGGGCTCTGTGCGCGCTGCTGTGGAACGCTGGTCGAGCTGGTGAAAATTCGAGAAAACAATACAAACTCAACTTTGAAGTACCGGTAATCCTGAACAACCAAGTTTATATATGTTGCACACGTAGGGCTAATCTTGTTGCACTGTTCAGAGGAGTCTCAACAATCACCCCAAAGTACCGTTTTCTGCGAGTTTTGGGCCTTTGTTTTCACCGCGAGGGTTGCCAGGCGGTGAAAATGCCCGGATGTCCGCTCCCGAGGATAGAGGTCTTTGGACTTTTATGTAAAATACTGAACAATTTGAATATGCACAAATTGTTGGAAATATTTGAGAATTAAACAGATTTACTGAATTACTGCAGGCCATAGTAATCATAGACAAAAATGAGTTTTTGTGAATTCTTATGCATTGGAACACTATAAAAAAAGTAATAGCAAAAGAAATTTTAACACACAGTCTAATGAGAAGCTGAAATCACTAACATTCAGACACTCTGAATTTTATTGAAAATGTAATGTCCTGTACATAATTCCCACAATCAAATATTTCATACAAATGATGTCAGAGTGCAACTTCAAGGTGTTAACATACATGCATGGCCAGTACAGACAAGGTGTTACCAAGTGAAATACTGAACTCACCCTGTTATGACTTCGAAGTGGCTGAACACATGCCTTCTTACCAGGTATTTTAAATGAGGGGTTGGTCCTAAAAGTGAAATAGATGAAGATATAATTCATCAGAATTGCGTGTTCACACAGTACAAGGTTGTTCACAGTACCAAAGTCACAAATATATACAAAGCATGAATATAAAGATCATGTAGGGTTAGTATTAAAGTTACAAACTATCACAATCATATTGTATGCACATAAATAAAAAACAAAGTACCTTTTACCATGTTCTTCATTTGCTGTTTGTTTGATGGGTCCTTTCTTAATGGCCTAGGAATGAAACAAATATAATACGAGTCTCTGATGCTCTAAACTCATGTTATCTGTCAGCTACTAAGGTCTACGCTTTAAAATTCTGATAAACAAATCTGAGTTCCAGGTATTGTATATAAAAATTGCAGGTACTTGAAAGTCACAGTACAAAGAAATACTGTGAAAAACTGCAATTAACATATACCATACAACTATTAATAGACACGATAGACTGTACATACCTTTTCTTTCTGAGCTTTCAAAAGGGGAAGTCGGTCCTTGTTAGCCCATTCCCATTTACGGTTTTTATCATTCCACACAAAAACACCTGCTCCAGCTTGTATGAAACCCTTCCCGTTTCCTCCTTCTGGTTGATTTGCCATGTGTGTTTTTTAAGTAAAACACTCCCTTAAAAAAGAAATAATAAAGATTATAAATTACAGATAGATTCTCAACAGAATTATTAAATAATGTTTATGAATATAACACTGTGTATTGTATTGTGTGTTAATTTTGAGTGTCGGTCGAGGCTGACCACCGTCACCCAGAGTGGCAAGATACCTGCATATATCCCCATAATGCAAAATCTGCCAAAAAATTACTAGCCTTGCATTTCAAAATGATTATTTTATCACAAGCTTTTTCAATTCAACTAAAATTTACAAAGATGAATGTTTTGTGTTGGACATTATTGGTGTGAATACCATATTTGCTCTATTAGCAGCGTATACATTCATCATACGTAAATGACAGCTGTATCTAAGGTTAATACAGGTGGTATCTAAGTCATAATTGAAAGATCCAGCATACAGTGAGTGCAAGTTGTGCATTTTTTGCACATTTAATAGAGTGAATACTGTAAACTGCTTAATTATTGAAGCTTCGTATTTTAATAATTTTATGATTTAAGTGTGTTCTGGAGAAATAAAATGTAATGAAAGTTACTGTGACTCTGTGTCTTTAGGACCCCAGTGATGACTTTTTCATTGCTATGAAATTTTTCTCGTGAAATTAAAGCAATTCAAAAATGACACAATTATTTACAATTCATCACTAATTAAGGTAGACAGATGATTTTTCTATAGCAACTTTTAGCTAAATTAGAAATAATCACTAAAATTCATTTGCCAAATTAAATTCATGTGAGCTAATACATTCATAACCATAGAACACTTGTTTCTTTCACTATTACATGTAATTTAGAAAAAGGAAAATGCCAAGACGCAATCTTAAATCGAAATTAATGTATGGTAATAATAACTATCGAATTAGGCATTAATTTCGAAACCATTGTTTAGTGCAAACCCAGTCATTGACAGCTTCCATGAACTATCCAAGCATGGAAGTAAGACATGTGAAAACAAGAATCACGGTGACACCTATAAGTCCGAAAAAAAAAACAAAAAAAACACTATAACAGAATATATGCAAGCACTGAACTTGAAGTATTGTCCATAATTTAGCTTTCAGTGACAAAAAAAAACATCAATAAGCTTGGTAAGAGTATGTCCTTATAATCTTATACCCCCCCCCCCTCCAAAAAAATATAGGCACTGCAGAAAATGAGAGATCTTTGGTACACGCAAGACGAAAATATGTCGTTTTGGCCAGCCTGCATGTTTTACAGTGTCATATTACAGTCCCTCTATGAAAGAGCATAGAGGTAAAAAACACTGATCATAGACAAAATTTCAGAAAAACCCGGAAAAGACTATGTCTAGAATTTGTAATTTGACACTTTTTCTTTGGCACATTTATTTTACATATTATTATATAGCGTTACTTACTAATTTCAGTCTTCAGCAGATCTCTATCTACCTGCCAACGTTCTTCGGATGTTATGGTTTTAGTAAAGACCGATCGTAGGTACCACTTTAGTCAGCTCAGCTGTCTTTTCGATTTGTTAGTGTTTGGATCATCGCCCTTGTTCGAAATAATGTAACCGTTTCTCTGATTTGTCCATTATTAAAATCAGTAGCCAATTGAATCGCATGACACATAAATTTTTACAGAGGGCGCCATTTCCGGTTTGGGATCCACAACAAAATCAAAAATCAGGCAGTCTTCTTGAGACTCAAGGTACCGGGGTATGTTATGTGTGTAGAAGCAATGATGGTTTGTTTTCACGGGTTTATTTTTCACTCTTTCTCACATTGTACATTAGAATAACACATTTATGAAGTTGACCATATTTATAGATGTGTCAAGTTTACTTGACTTGTTGCTGGGGCTTTCAAATCAATGACATGATACTAAAAAAGACCATGATCAGACCACAGAACTGCATGGAGACGAACTGTCGAGTACTAGATCACAGTCCCTCAAAAGTGTGACCAGATTAATGTATGGCCAATTCGGCCACTGTCACTAAGTTTAGTTATGAACCTACTATTAGATCCATGGTTTAATAAGGCTGGCACCCGGAAATTCGAAAGCCACCATCCTATTGGATATGGGTGGTTTATGTAAAGTGACCCATTACATGTACATGGAACTGTGTTTTTAGTTCCAGAGGCCAGGAATAATTAACTGACATTTTGCCGCTGATGACTTTAATTTTTTTTTATATGACTCATTTTATTATTACCTTTTTTCAGTGATTTTAATCCTTCCTTGAATTTTCCATTTTGAGTTACATTTCGGCCAAGATTGCATGGGTAAAAAATGAGTATTCAGTTACAATTGTCATTGTTTTACAAACTCTTTCAACCAATCATTCTATGGCTGTGATGTATGTATGTAGTGATGAAAGTTCCATTGATTCCTCCATCAAAGATGTACGCCTCACATTCCTTCGCTTTTTTCTGAATATCTCTAAAAGTACATCTAAATGGCTATTTACAGCAAATTTGGTAGATATCCAATTCATTGCTTCATTCAACAACAGATTGTATCGATTATCATCCATTCCAATGGATATTAAGGTAGCGAGACTATTATTTGTGTTGAAAATTACGATTTTCACATTTATTTATTAATTGATGAAATGCACTATAAACTTTCATCTGATAAAGTCAACGTAACCTAGAATGTCATGTAAGTTGGTTAAAATGTTGATTTTCTGAAGGGAAGCAAGGCAGCTTCAGTAGTGTTTTCCAAAATCAACAACACAGGTTTAATTTGTGTGCCTATAAGTTTCAAAGATTAACTCAAGACAAAGCAATGTTAAGATGTGTTATCAGTAGCTATCTGACACACAATTAGTGTTTCCAAACATTTGAGTTGTTTGTCTTCGCCCCTGTTTATTTCACAGATTAGTCATTTGCATATGAATGTGTCAGACACAAGGTCACACAGCCACTGAAAAAAATCATTGATTTTAGTGTTTTCATCTGCCGATTTTATCCCATTCGTTTATTTTTTGGTTTCCAATAGCCTTACACATTTGGATGCCCCTACACATGTTAAAACAGACCTTGATGGGAAAACAAATCGCTTGTGCAGATAAACAAGCTTGAAAATCTTTGCTGTGACTTCATCGACGTTTTCTAGGAGTTTATGTTTTTCAAAATACAAGGTCTTTAACAAAAAATAACGTATACTTATTGTCGTCGGATAAACACCAAATTTTCACAGCTTCAAGGTGACAATGAGAGGAACTTGAATGTGTCCAGACAAACTATTTCATGGATTAATTACCAATGTGTTGCGGTTTGAGTTGGGGGCAATGCG